TTATAATTTAATATATATATATATATTACTCTTTTCTTTATAATTTCAATCTATCTCTCTCTTTATTCAGCTGCTTCAACATTAATAATAATAATAATATAGGCTAAATTTCGGGCCCGGGCCCAGGCTCGGGCTTCGGGCCCAAATTGTAGGCCCAATGGTCGGGCCGGGCTCGAGCTCGGGCCTTAAAAAAATTTGTTAATACACAGTAAAAGCCCGGCCCAAGCCCGGCCCATGAACAGGTCTAGTCTCAAACCACTCAGATAACGTGCTGCCTGCTGGTTATCACTTTCAGATAATTGATTTCTTTCAACTAATCTTAAAAATTCAGAGGTATATTCATTAACACTACGGGAACCCTGCGCACACCGTTGATATGATTCAAACATGTATTGTTCATAATCTGGGGGTAAAAATCTACCTCTGATTAACTGTTTCATGTGCCTCCAGGTTCGAACAGGACCCCTTCCTTCTTTGATCCGAGTCTCTCTCATGCGTTCCCACCAAACGAATGCGCCTCCTTTTAGTCGGAAGGCTACTAATTTGACTCTCCGTTCTTCAGGGATTTCCATACACTCGAAGAAACGATCGACTTCTGTGATCCAATCTAGAAGTCCTTCTATGCCAAGATCCCCACTAAAAGTAGGAATATCTACCTTGAGTTTAAATTCATCATTATTCTTACGGGGATTGAAATTACCTTGATTGTGCCAATTTCTGCCGTTTCTGTCGTTGTCGGGAAAAACTGGAGCACCACCGAATTCTAACTCATCATCACTGTCATCGTCAAGAACTGGACGCCGAGATGTAGCGTTGACGGGTGGTCTGTCGTGGTCGTCTCCTTCGATTGAATGTGGATTTTCCCTGTTCCGCGGAACAACCTCCCGTAACAAGGTTCGCAGTTGTTCAGCCATCTTTGCCAACTGTTGTTCGACATTACGTATGGTCGTGCGCTGCTCTTCGATTGCTCTCCAAACAGCTGGGAACCCCTGATCTCCGTCATGGGGTGGGTTGCGACTGCTACCGTCTTGGTTGGCCATCTGACTGGGCGAACTCCCTGCTTTGATACCACCTGACACAGCGTGGAAGCACTAAACCGGGCTGGCTATGCAAGCGTCGAGCGAACACCAGCTTCGTAGCGAAGCTTTTACGTAAATCTCTAGAGGAGAGAGAAAAGTTGGCGAAAAACTAAATTGTGTATTAGCTTGGAAAATAACAATATTTATAATACATTTGGAAATTGTAGAATAACTAGGAAAGAAAATTGTGATAGATCTCTAATCTACTAGGATCGAACTCTTCTTGATCTTGATCTTTGTCTTGATAGGATCGAAAACTCTTGGGCTTGATCTCCACCGTTCGATCTCCCTGGGTGCATGACTTATCCTGTCTTCTTGGAATTACCTTGGATCTTAAACTTCCTTGAGTCTTGGATCTGGATGTATCATGAATTCTTGAATTATCTTGGATTCTTGAATTCTTGATGGATCTTGAATTCTTGGATTCTTAATGGGTCTTGAATTCTTGAATTATCCTTATCCTGCAAGCTCCCTTATCCTATGAACTGCCGCTCATATGGTGAGGTGGGCCCCCATGATGGGATGGGCCTCCATCAGACTATCTTGTTATTCTTATCTTATTAAGTTAGTAGATTAGATTATCTTATCTTATTAGATTAGGATTAAGAGAGACTTATCTTATTAGATTAGGATTAAGAGAGATTATCTTATCTTATTAGATTAGGATTAAGAGAGATTTATCTTATCTTATCAAGATAGAGTTGGAGGTCTCCCTATTCAGCAAGGAGTCTCCCTAAGAGCAGGACTCTTGTAATCTCCGATTTAAGGAGCCACTATAATTGAATAAAGGCATCCAAGAATTTCAATCAAGAGAAGAGTTGAAGAGAGTTAGGGTGATCTCTTGGACAAATCACCCCTTAGGTCGCCACGATAGGGTCTGCACGCAAAGGGAGGGGCAAGGGGAAGCTAGAGGTTCTCCCCGTGGACCGACCCGTGACGAGATCCTACGCCCGGGCCCAAAACAGTATCTCTGTAATAGGTTGACTGTTGACCTTTTTAAGTAATCCCCTACCAAATGACCCTAAATAACATAAACATGGTGTCATGGTCTACCTAAGCACCTACAGATGGATAAGGCTTTACTAAGTTGAGCTAACATAGTTTTTTCAACCACTCAGGCCAATGTAACCAAAACAAAATAAAAGATTAAAACAAATATTGGCAATGTAAAGGACAGAAGCAATAAGGTGAGAATACCTTGATATTCCTAGTTAGACTTGTGATGGGGTAAGGAGATTTTGTTGTATTAATATTAAATGAGAGGAAAAAGGGAACCACACAAGAAAGAATGCAGAACAGTCTAAAAGCCATGACAAATGTACAGCACAATGCCCTCAATAAAATAAAAGATATACATAGAAAATTTGTCCTTGTTTATTTGCACTAATCATAGATGAATTGACTAAACATTCAGAAGGAGGTCTCATGGTGCTTGTTATTTTCTGATGATACTGTGTTAATTGATGAAACTAACAAAGGATTGAACCCAAAATTAAGTTTATAGATAAATAGCTTAGAAACAAGAGTTATTAAAATAAGTATGACCAAAACAAAATATATTCTGTGCAAATTTAATAATGATAGGAGTCCAAATCAGGATACACTTAGGATTTGTGAGAGAAATTGTAATTGCTGAGTAGAGTATGTAATGTGTTTGTTGCTTTTCATTCCAGTTCTTGATGGAGTATGTAATTGCTGAGTAGATCAGTCTGCCTTTCCGGGACTGCTCTCAGCTTGTATGTGCAGATTGTGAATCAATAAATATTACATTACCTTTTCCCATAAAAAAAAGTAATGCATAGTATCATTTAAAATAATAAAAAAAAGCATGTATAACAAGCTGCTGTACACAGGGATTTTACAATCACTGCCCATGCAGTCCTATACCCCCAAACCCTACTTTACAGAAAGACTTCCATATACAAAAAAAGGAACTATAATTTCTGTCCTTAAATAACTTGTTCATAGTAAGCCAAGAAAACATTTTTCCCAAGATTTTCTGGAATACTGTGTCTACAAAGCTGTTTTTTTATAAATAAATAGAACCTTTTATTAATTTGGAAATATTAGCACATACAAGCAGCCCTTGGAGAAACGCGAGCTGCGATCTCTCCACTAAAGAAGAAAACAAAAGCAATAGGTTACGGTTGTGCCAATACAAAACTTCCCTAGCTGCCCCTTACTTGGCTAGACAGTGCCATAGCATTTGTTGATCTCCCCACCCATTGTATTCTTAGGTCCATGTTTCTTGTCAGCACCTTAAACTTTTTTATTTCATTCCTGAAGCACCAAACTACTGACTCTAGGTCCTGCAACCAGCTTATTACAACCTTTGAGTCACCTTCAACTATTAGCTGTTCCACCCCTAATTGAGCTGCAAACTGTACACCTTGCAGGGCAGCAAACAATGCTGCTTTTGTTTTTGAATATCCTTGCATTTCTCTCGTGCCAAAAAACACCAAATACTGATGCAGGAGCAATTTAGGATTGAAGAAAAGGAGATGACTTGATTTGACCTTTCCATTTCTTTGGTTCGATAATTCATAATCATAACAAGGGAGAGATTTTGTATGATGCAGCCCATAGAATTAGAGCACGATGGGCAAAAAGAAGAAGTGCATTTGGAGTCTTATGTGATAGGCAAATATCACTTGGATTAAAAGGAAAACTCTATAAAACAGTTGTAAGGCTAGTGATACAGTATAGAGCAAAGTGTTGGGTGGTCAAGAGACAACATGTCAAAAAACAGAGTATGGAAGAAATGTATATGCTGAGAATTATCAAAAAAAAGAAAAGGAAAGAAATGTGTATGCTGATATGGATAAGTGGAAAAACTAGGAAAGATATGCTCACAAACAAAGTCATTCAAATGAACCCAAAAGTAGTTCCAATAGTTGATCAAACAAGAGATATAGACTAAGATGGTTTTCTCATGTGCATAGAAGACCATCTACAGCACCCATAAGAAGAAGCAAACCTGTTGCAAGTTGAAGGGGCTAGTAGGGCTAGGAGTAGACCAAAAAGGACATGAATTGAAGTAGTAAAAAACTATTTAAGCGCTCATAATTTAGCAATAGATATAGCACTAAACAGACTGGAATGGTGAAACATGATCCAGTATAATTGGGACAAGACTTAGATGATAATGATATGATACAAAAATTATAGTGTTCCTAATTGTATAACGGAATTAATAAATACCAGTACTTGGCAATAACCCAAGGAACCTAATCACAAAAGTTCCATGTGTTTGAGTACTGAACAATTGGGTCAAAAGAAAACAGGTGCTGTTCAAGCATGTGAACAACACAACGTGATCAGATTGGATTCTGTATTAAAATTTAAAACTCATGCAACTACTAGGGAAAAATAACTACACAATCCATGATTCATCTCCACGCCTTTCTCGGTGCATCAAGTTTTTCAGATTGTATCCTTACTATGCATTAGATTGGTCACTAAGACCAAAGTGTAAGTTCTGTAGCATAAAACAACATACAAATAAACCGGATCAAATTTATACCATTCAGGTCCCCAATCCGATTATTTTATTGTTCTGGTTCGGTGGTTCCTAACCCTTTCCACAAAAAAAAAAGGTTCCTATCCCCATTCCTATAATAATTCAAATAAGCCGCAAAAAGACGATGAGATAATAGATTGAAGTGAAAAAAAATGGCAGAAATAAAATATTACCAGAAGGCTGTGACAGAAGTGAAATCGTTAGTGGAAGCCATGACGCAAAGCGCTGCAACTGCAAATAAAAACTGAGATATGCGTAAGGCGACTCCGCCGAGTGTTCCAGGCATTCCTTGGATGTCCTTCATCCTCACTCTCGGCACATTGTTTGCAGCATCAGTTAGAGGGGGGGCTTCTACAGGGTGAACCGCTGGATGACTTGCATTCATTGCTTCAAAATAATATATGAGTTATATAAAAGAAAATGGATTATTAATTCTTATAGCCCAGCGATGCCCATGGACACACGGAGACAGTAACGCTTCCACTCTCGCATTCAAACACGGGGGAGTGGAACCATTGATCTCACCCCCTAACTTAGCACTCCAACCATGTCGACCCTCCGATATTCTATTGAACAGGAAAGATAATATGTCTGGTAGCCCAATTCCACGAATTAAGTTGAAGAAAACCCTAACCTGATTGTTCTGAGACAAAAATGGAACAATTTTTCCACCAATAAAACCACAAACCCCTGATTCTGCAAACAAAATCCTCAACCACGTAAATGGTAAATGAACCCTAGGCTTACACAATTTGGGGGAAGTACAATATATTTCCGACTCGGGACACTATGCCCATCAGATGCTAGGGCAACACAGGCAAGCACCCCCTTGCTTCAGAACTCTAATTCTTCAAACTTACACAGAAGAACGTAACAAACAACAAGATACTCCGATCAGTCCTCACTCTTTACGATCGAAAGAACGTAAACGCGACATGGGAACTTTTTTTTTATAGGAACTTCGTCCAGCTGCTTGGCGCCTTGGCCTACTTCCAGAGTTCCAGCTTACTAACCTGCGTAAGCGTCCTCTACATACGTTGTGTCCGCTCAGGCTAACTAGCCACGTGGCAACTAGTTATTTGACTTATTTCCTGTGGCGTTCTTCACCCCACACGGGAGTACGTAACAGGTAACACCATAGCCTGCACGGCCTATGTAAGAATGATCATTGATGAATGGCCTTCCTCCCCGCCTAGACAAGTTCATGGGCTTTCACTCCTCATTAACAGTATTTTTTCAGGCCCGAGCCCTAGCCCGGCCCGACTAATAGGCCTACAACTTAAGCCCGAGCCCGGCCCTCTTAAAAAGCTCGAAGCCTGAAGCTCGACCTAACAATGATTTTTTTCACTTTTATTGAAGATTGCATCTTGAGTTCGCCGGAGTTCACTAGTGGCGTTGGTGTTCACTGGTGAGAATGAGAACATTGAGAAGATGGAACACACACACACCGTGAACTCACCACAATAGTCCACTGGTAGCGCCGGTTCCTAAGAAGATGAGAATATGCAACAATGACTCAGTTAGTGAGAAACTGAGAATGAGAACTATGGGAGAGACGATAGAGAGAGGATTGGTGGAGAGAGAGAACTCACCACCAGAGAGAGAGAGAGAGAGGACCGATGCTTGAGATCGCCGGTGCCCGAGCTCACATGTTGCCTCTGAGATTGACAGTGGTGGCTGCCTGTTTGGGCTTGCGTCGATTCTTAAGAGTAATAGTGAGGAGATAAGAAGACGAATACTGAAAAGAGGGAATAAGAAAGGGTACTTTTTGGCTAGGGTTTAGAAATTAGAATAGGTTACACTTGGTCAGGCCGGGCCGGGCTTTTGTGGCAAATCCCGAGCTCGGCCTGTAAAACAGTCGAGCTCAAGCTTTTAGGCCCGCAGGCTAAAAACTATGCGCAAGCCCGTTCAGGGGGTTGGGGCGGCCCATCGAGCTACCTGGCCCATGAATAGGTAGTCCCACCCAACTTGCACCTATGGGTTGCTCACGGCTCACGCTTCAATTAACCAAATCATGAGCATACTTTTTAAACCGAACCGAACCCTGCGGTTTTTATATTTGTGAACCAAAACCAATCGAATCAATCCGTTAATAGGGTGCTTGGGACTGAGGAGCCTGGATCTCCTGCCCACAAGAACTCTGTCCACGTCTACCCACATAACATCGCAATCATACATGAGGAACATCTCATCCTCCTACATAGTATAATGCACGTGGATATGTTCCCAATTCAAGGATGTAGTGTGTTATGGGTAGATGTGGGTAGAGTTCTTATGGGCAAGAGATCAAAAGCAATGTTTTAAAAACCAACCCAAAGGTTGGACCATTTTTGCCTCTGGCTTGATCTCGAATGGGTCCGAATGGGTAAGAGATCAAAAGCAATGTTTTAAAAACCACCACGGTTTCTTTGCTAGGTTAACCAAAACCAACTAGATGGGTCCTAATGTAGTAGGCACGTTAGGTAAGCACAATGAGTGAGCACGTAATAGTTGGGTGATACATGTCCCAGTTAATGTGCCTTTCATCCAAATGTTTTTTTCCCCGTTAGATATAAATTACCTATTATTGTATTATCTTTGTCAAAATAATTAAAAATAAAAACAACGAAAAAGGAAAACCTAAACGTGTTGGGAGTTGGGACTCATGTACGTTATATTTTTTTCATTGTTTTTTATTTTTTATTATTTTGACAAAAGTAAGAAAATAATAGATAATTTATGTATAACGGAGCAAAAAAGTTTAAATGAAAGGCACATTAACTGGGACATGTGTCACACAGCTATTACGTGCTCACTTATTGTTCTTACCTGACATGCCTACTACATCCGGACCCCAAATAGATAGTATGTTTCAAATTGGATGGTTGATTTCGGTTCAATTTTTTGGTATTTTGGGTTTTCATGGCACTGCAATTGTATACAGCCTTAGTATTTAGGCCCTTGGATATACTTTTATTTCCAAAAACATGCTTTGCAATTTCAAACCATTTTTTTTTTTCCAAATACATATAAAAAGGGAGAAAACCATTTTTTCAATGCGTTTTTTGTTCACAATGAAAACACATTGGAAGTTCAAAACTAAGGTTGTAAGTTGGGCGAGCTGGATAGCGTTTAAGGTCAACTTAGGCTCTTAACTCCATAGATATGCTAATAAGCAATAACTATTGAAGATGATTCAAAGCTTATTATCAATTACCTAAGGAAGATTGTGGACCTTTCATGGAGGCTAAAGAATGACATTAAAGAGTGTATGTGTCTAAATGTATTTTTGGTCATTGCTTGTGTCTTGTTTTTTATTTTCAGTTTGAGATATGACGATTTCGAGCAATGGAGTTTATACTTTATTAGCGGGGACCCGTGTGATGCATAGGATTTGTTAAGCGAAAGCTAAATAATAGAAAGGGTCATTTACTAAAACACCCCTTATAGTTTCATAGATTTACCAAAATTTACCCTATAGTTTGTATTTTACTAAAACACCACTTATAATTTGCTATGGATTTAATCAATCTTCTATTAGATGACAATGGAAAATGACAATGTCGACCATAATGTTAATTTAAATAAAAATTATCAAAATAAAATAAAAAATAAAAATACCATTTTTGCCCCTAATAAGACACGAGCAACCACTCTATTGGTGGCTATATTTGGTCAATTTTGTTTTTTGTACAAAAAAGTGATAAGGATATTTTTGGAATAAAAAAACATGGTCATTACGGCAAAACAAACATTCATTAATGAAAGGTTGATTAAGTAAATAAGTTGTAAAATATATGAGATATTTTATTAAAATGAAAACTATAAGGTGGGTTTAAGTAAATATGTAAAACTCCAAGGTGTGTTATACTAAATGACCCTAATAGAAACACATAAGAGTATACAACTATTTTATATTTTCAAAATTTTTAAATAATTAATAATTATTTATATTTTATATACTACTTTTAATAAATTTTTTATAATACAAAAATAACAATAATTAATTTCAGTTAGGTTTATTCATTAAACTGATGAAACCGACCAACCCGATCAACTTGACCTGACCATATTGGATCAGTTTCGCTTTCGTCATTTGTAAATCGACCAAAATCGGATGACTTGATCATCGATATATATTAATATTTTATATTTTAAATATAATTTTTAATATGGGAAAGTGGGAAATTTTCCATATTTCTTAGTCTAAAATGTTTTATATCATAATTTTTTTTTAACAATTGCACTGTAATTTTCAAAATTTAAATTTAATTTTTAAGTTTAAATCTTTTGAACCAACCAACCAAACCAAAAAATTGACCCAAACTGATACAACTTGAGTAAATCGGTTTTCGCAAATGGTCAGTCAGTTTCAATTAACCAAGTCAATTTGGTTGGCAAAACAACCTACAACCGAACTGAACAAATTCATGAACACTCATAATTTAAAATAAATAAATAGTCTCATCTTTGATAAATAACAATATTTTAATCTCCAGTAATTGTTGAAATTTTATAGCGAATATACACAATTACTAAAAAATATATTGATAATGAAAAAATACAATAATTGCAAACTTACAATAAGTACTAAAAATAGATTAAATTAGTCAATAAACAGTATAATCTCTAATAAATATTAATCAATAAGTTATATAAAAAATACAACAAATACAATTAGTACAATAAACAAAATTTAAAATTTTCAATAATAATAGTTTAATCTCCAATAATTATTGAAAGCTTTTTGTTAAATAACAAAACAAAAATAAATTTATACATAATTATTGAAAACACATTTATCACAAAAAATAATAAATAATTACTGAAATACAATAAATATTAATATTAGAATATATGATTATATACTGAATATATATTAAGAGTTTAAAATTATTATTAATAAATATTAATTTTTATGAAAGTTATTTTCTCGAATTATTAATTGATATAAGTGAAATTAGTTACTTACAATATTATGTAAAAATATTAAATTATTATTAAAGTTATTTAATTATTAATTTTGTAAAATATTAAATTATTATTAATTTGAACTTTATGTTATAATTATTTTTATAATTTTCTAATTTTTTTAATTTATTACATAACTTCTTTATTTTAACTAATTTAAAATCAAGTTATGTTCAATATTTTGTTGTTTAAAATATTTAGTTACTTAACTACTTAAATAATATGTAAAACATATAAAATTTAAAATATTAATTATTTATTGAATTTAATAATCCACAAAATTATAATTTATACTATCATTACATAATTTTATTACTAATTTTGTAAGACATTGAATTATTATTAATTTCAATATTATGCTATAATTATTTTTCTACTTTTAAAATCTTTTAAATTTATTACATAATTTCGTTATTTTAACTATTTAAAATATAATTATGTTAAATATTTAAATAATATGTAAAATATTTAAAATTTTGTGTTATTTACTGAATTTAATAATCCATTAAATTATAATTTATACTATTAATACATAATTTCATTGTTAATTTTGTAATATGTTAAATTATTATTATTTTCCATATTATGTTATAATTATTTTTCTACTTTTATTTAATTTTTTAAATTTATTACATATTTTCATTATTTTAACTATTTCAAACCTAGCTATGTTAAATATTTAAATAATATGTAAAGTATTTATTTATTTTTTGTTACTTGAATTTTATTTATTTAAAGATATTACATATTACTAAGTATTTTGTTATATAGTTATTTGTATATTTATAATATTTTTATTTATGATATTTATTTATTAAAATATTTACATAAGATTTTATTTTTTAATGTTAAGTTTTTTATTATTTGAATAACATTTAAATTAATAATCCATAAAAAACATAACTTAAATTGTTAGTACATAATTTCGTGATATATTTTGTAAAAATATAAAATTATTTTTTGTGTTTTTAATAAATATTTTAAAGTTTTTATAAAGCTATTACATATTACTAAATATATTTGTTATATAGTTATTTATATATTTATGATATCTGTTAGTTATGATTTATTTATTGAAATATTTAAATAAGATTTTATTTTTTGATGTTGAGTTTTTATTATTTGAATAACATTTAAATTGATAATTCAGAAAAACATAATTTAATTTGTTAGTACTTAATTTTGTGATATATTTTGTAAAAATATAAAATTATTTTTTATGTTTTTAATAAATATTTAAAGTTATTATATAATTTTGTTATAATATTTAAATAATTCTTAAATTTTTAATCCAAACTTTCTTTAGATAGATATAGATAAAAAGTTGGGGAGAGGATAAATAGGAATTAGAGATAATTTAGAGGATAAACTCTCTACTAAATTATATATAATTTTTTAGATAAATAGGAATTAGAGATAATTTTGGAGAATGTGGGGATATGGAGGAGGTAGTTGAGGATAAATTTTATGATAAAAGATTATTTAGGTTACTGGGAAAATGAATCTCATTGGTTGTTTCAAAAATGACATGGAATAAAAAAATAAAATTTTCAAATAAATGAGAAAATTTCTTGACCGCTTTGTTTTAATATATATATATAGAGAGAGAGAGAGAGAGAGAGTAGTGTAATTTGCATATCTATATTCTATTAATTCCCAAACGCTCTTGCTAGTCATCGCTCTTGCTAGCAAATAGCTCATGAGAAGCTTGACTTATGGCCACCCCTATTGGCAGCTCCCCTTTTCTTGTCGCTCCTAGTTTTCTATGATTAATTTCAAAAGATATTGAACATGAAATTAGAAAATGTTGAGGTACACAATAATTCAAGATAGAAAAATAGTACATTTATTAAGAAAAAATGATGGATAAAGAGAGTAAACCTTTGAGCAACCTAAAACAATATATGAACATAGAAATTTAATGGAAAGTGATGTAAGATGGATTGTGAACAAGTATTTTGCTTGTTGCATAATAAAAGATGGGGTTCCTTGGCAATATTTTTGTATTAGCCATCCCAATCTCAAGGATGAAGCCATTTTGCTTATACATACATACATATATATATATATATATATATATATATTATATTTTAATAATTTTTTCTTTGTTACTCATCAAGGTTTAGCCATCCCAATCTCAGTGCAAATTTACTAAATCACATCTATATAAGTCATTTTGACAGTTGAATGTGGTTTACATCCAAGATCCACTGTTGGATCTCAAAATCATCCATTACGTGCAGGCATGAATAATTTGGACCATTGGATCGACTCAATGGGTCCTAAATATCAAGTAAAAGTGTCACCCCAGCCTGAATCAGCCACATGGATGTTTCTTGAAATGCCCCACCAAATAGCCAAACATGATGAAACACTTATTTTTGATAAGTTGTAAAGTAACTTTAGCGCCACCTCAACATTTAATTTCAAGAAATGCCCATGCATTGGGGGAAACATGAATTTGATGTTTTCCCAAATGCCCCATACACATAAATCAAAGAGTTTCAGTTTTTTTTTATTATTTATTTGATAAAACGGTGAAACCAAAGAGTGGTTCTATATGCAATAAACACCAATGCCTATGTAGTGCTGATGTAGTGGCATTTTTCCAATAAACACCCACATAACCAAACATATACTAAATATGTCTCATGGACATTGTACTCGTATTTCTTATGAATGATTTTTGGCTTTTTGAAAAGAAAAATCAAGCGTCTAGAGAACTTTTTTACCATTCCAACAATATGGAGGTAGAAATGGCAACGGGGCAGGGATCATATTCTCCGTCCTCGGTCCCTGATGGTGATGGGTTCCCGCGCGGACCTGAATCCCCGAAATATTTTTAGATAACAATAGTTTTTTTTTTAATAAATTTACTTAAAATAACTAAAAAAGGGAAATTTTAAACAATGTTTTAAATATGTAGAAATAATATAATATATTTAATATAAATAACATTATATATATAATTAGGGTTGGGGTGGGGTGGGGACCTCAATCCCTATCCTTGACCCTAACCCCGATCGAAAATTCCTATTAATCCTCGTCTCCATCCCTACCCCACCAATGGATCGGGAAAGTCGAGTCCCTGTTGGGGACAGGGAAAATTGCCATCCTTGTATGGAGGTAGAGATGCACCGTTGGGGCATTATAGGGATGACAATAATGATGCATATGTGTAATGACAAATGGGGAAAGGGTTAGAAAAGCAATGAAAGAGAGAGGCGATAAGTTGACCACCCACATGAGTTTTAAAGATTCAGGCCCCGTTTGGTTCACGGGAATAGGGGTTTGAAATCGGAATCGAATAGGCTATTCTTATTCAAACTATTTGGTTGGGCAGAATCGAAATCCCATTATCATTCCTGCTGGAATGGCATTCCTCCATTCAAGGGATTGGCCATTCCCTACCCCTCTCTTGTGAATAAAATCTCATTCATGTTTATTCCAGTTCTTATTCCCATTCTTATATGAACCAAACAGACTATATAAATAAACTATTCCGATTCCAATTCCAAAATCTTCCCATTCTTATTCCAATTCCGATTCCAACTACGAACCCAAAATACCCTCAGTGTATATTTTGAAATATCGAAAAAAATGATGAATAAAGAATCAACAGATATCTAACTCTTTTTGAAAATCTCATGTCATGGTTATGTCAAATTAGGAAATCTCGGTGTATGTTCAAGTCTTTTATCCTTTGATTTATTTTAGTCTCATTAATCTCGCCTTTAACAACCACTGCCGCCCACTGAGCATTAATAGAGGGGGGTTCTGACGTCAAACAAGAAACTGACAGATAATAAGATATCTATGGGCGGTTAGGTCAACCTAAGCTGGCTTGATGTGGCTGAATCTGGGATCCAAAAATTGATAAATCTATTAATATACTATAAAAAACTTGATAAGTTTATTTTATATGATTTTGAAAAGGAAAAGATTAATTCATTAAATGAAATTTCCCACCAGAAAAAAAAGGTTTATTAACTTTAAATGTAATCAATGCCAATGAATTAAGATCAAGATGGGGTGGCTAAGAGAAACAAAAAAAAGGTAGTAAGAGGCGTAGATTCTCCCGAAAATTGGGTGAGGAAAGAATTCGGGACCTGATATTTCAGGTCATTACTCATTACGACCAAAAAAGATATTCCATGTCAACAATTCTTATGCCACCACGTGGCAAGTCTTTTGGTCATGCTTGGTGGAGACTGGAGGATGCTCCCAGTTTCTGGTGACGAGTGCGCTGGGCATTTGGGGAACACAAAACGCCATCTGAGCGGGGGCTACCGAGCCCTATCAGTTACCTGCAGGCTGCAGCAGGTGCGCATAATTACTGGATGCGCATTTTAGTAATTATCATCAATGCAAATGGAGAAAAAGGAAAAAAACAGAGAAATTTTCGAAACAATGTATAGTCGCCGTCATTTTTCAAAAAGTTCGGGGAGTATTTCGACAACTGGTAGCGGTGTACCTGTAATGCATGCAACCTTCACCGTGGATATTAGAAAAAACCCTATAAGATTCATCCATCCACACTTGGTTTTGTGAATTCGGCCCTCTTTTTGTACTTTCGCAATCTCCATTAGGCATCAACGTAGCCTACGTCGCGGCAGTGATTTTGGGGCTTTCGATCTTCGCGGGTCTGCTCACTCTCCCTCCTAACTATTCGAGAGATTAGTGCATTTATTTTTCAAATAATTGGATGAAAACTTCCTTGTTCAAACATTTTCGTGTCTGTTAGGGTTTCTCAAATTTCAGATGGCGTTTTCTTTTGCTCGGTACTTTAGCTGATAGCAGATTCTATGTGTTTCTTTCTTTGATTTTGTTATAAGTCTGCAGATCTGCAAAGCTGCTACTTTCGAGCTCGTATTTCTGTTAAATTACTCATTTCAAGATGTTCTGGCGCATAACAGCTCTTTCCGCTTCTTCCCCTGTAAGTGAAACCCTAGATGATTTTGCATCTGCGTTGACATCTTTAGCTTCTTGATCATGGTCTCTATATGCCAATGACAATTGTATTTTGTTATTATAATTTTTTGTTGTTTATATGTTGTTCTTGAATTTTAGCATATTAAGGTTGCGTGCTAAACAGAGCTATAACTATAAGCATCTGCAATTAGTAGTTCAGTAAATGCGGGAAATAAAGCTTTTAGTGCGAGGTTATTTTAACGCTGTTAGTGCCAATCTAAAGTTTGTAAGCTCTGAAGGGAATTTGGTGTCGATTGGATGCTTAGGGTCGAACTCCGATATTCTTTAGTTGTTAATTTTAGTTGCTTTATCTGTTCTAGAGGAAGGGAATGTTTAATACTTTGCCTTTCATAAATTCCCGTTATTTATAAATTTGAACTTGTCCCGGCGGTTGAGATATAATGTTGTGGAAGTGGAACTACTGTTCCTTTTATTGTTTTATGGCTTTCCTGGAAGAAACATTTATTTTTCCCATTAGTCCACCTGATTATGTTAACTATTCATAACTTTCTAGGTTATATTTGCTGTTTTACTTCTCTTTTTCTTGACTTTCTCATAATGATTTCATTGGATTTTGACACTATATAGCCTTTCTTGCCTTTCAATTTCTATTTTTTTTTTCATTAGCTGCTCTTGTCTATGTCATAAAGTGTTGAAACATCTTTTCCTCATTGATAGGTGGAAGCAGTGTTGGACAAGGACAACTTCACTTTGGAAGAGCTTCTGGACGAGGAAGAAATAATCCAAGAGTGCAAAGCTCTAAATAGCCGCCTCATAAATTTGTAATATACTTTTCTGCTTTACTTATCACTTATCAGTCTTATCTATGTATGCGTTTTCATCCTAATTTATAAGGAAATAAATGTTTTTTCTTTGTATGATTCAATGTACTTGATGCACAGTACTTGTTTTCAGTTAAGCATTATTTTTTTCCCTACCAAATTGTTGATCAGTTGGTCAATGTATCTGACATGAATAAATGCATGTTTATTAATCTACATTTGTTTTATGAAGTATAGTAAATGGATTTTGGTTTTGTTACAAGCTATGGCTTTAGAAAGAAAGTACAAGTGAAAATAACAAGTAGACAGGGAACTTTTTATTCAACTTGTATCAAACCAAAAGTAAAAAACTTACTAGCCTAGTTTTGGAAGTAGGAAGTGAATACCTCTAGAAAGGAAAAAGAAGAGCAAGAAAAATTTAATTAGGCACAAATGGGTTAGGAATTGAATATATGAAGAAAGAAGAAAGTCCAATAAAGAACTACAGCTGGATAGAAATGAAATTTGAGTACCTAAGAGATGACCTAAATAAAGCCTACGAAGTATAAAAAATTTCTAGAAACTGACATGATTCTATAAAACCATAGAATTCTCATTGAAGGTATTTTATGGTTGGAAGCCTAATGGAACTCATCTCTTTCTCTCTCTCTCTTTTTTTTTTTCCTTTTTTCCCTTTTCTAGTTTGCGTGATAGAACCCAGGTGGATCAGTTACTGCACTATATTGTAGAAGAAGCTCCAGAAGGCGCTGACAGCAAACGTACTTTCAAGTAATCTGCTCTGACTTAAGGAGATTCTTTTTTTACTAGGATTGCATATTAGATATATTTTGTGTTGTAACTTGTAAATACCAAAGTGTATTTTTTCCGTTGGTTATGTTGCATTTCATGACATCATTTATTTTAACGGTTTAGGTTTCCCTTCATTGCCTGTGAGATATTTACATGTGAAATTGATGTCATCCTTAAGACTTTGGTAGAAGAAGAAGAGGTATATCTTTGCTTTATGTTCATATTTTTTACACTCTTTGTTTATGGAAGTTTCTTTCATAGTGATCTACATTTCTAATTAAGTATTCTTTTATTTGTGGTTGCAGCTAATGGACTTGCTTTTTTCTTTCTTGGAACCAAACCGTCCTCATAGTACCTTACTGGCTGGGTACTTCAGCAAGGTACTCTACAGTCTCATTTCTAATTTGTTTATTTATGTTATGTTTTCGTAGGAAATGCCTGGTTTACTACTATCTTTTCACTGTGATTTTCTAGGTTGTTGTGTGCCTTATGTTACGGAAGACGGTCCCACTTATGAATTATGTTCAAGTAAGTATATACTTAACCATTTGTTCTACAAAGACTTTTTATTTATAAAAAAAAGAGAAACAAACAAATAACTTGTTCTCCCTTTGCTTTTGCTCTATAACCAGTTTTATAGAATCTAAGTAGAGGGTGAACAGTTGAATTTAGTATCTCTGGGTCATGTGAAGGAGTTGATGCTGCTTAAAGTGTAAGAGGGAAAAAAAAGAAAGAGAAAGCTCTAACTTTGCACTGCTTCCATCTCATTTTGATTCTGAATTTTGGATGCCAAATAACTCTTATCACTTCCAATTTCAAAACAAACCAAAATTTAGTATTCTTTTGATCAGTAATAGGAAATCTATATTCATTAGTAAGATTAAATTTAGTAATGTGCAAGTGTACAAGAGAAGAGGCTAAGGTAGCTTCCAAATGAAAAACAGCAGAAATATAGAAGTAAAAACCCATAGTACTGTAGTAGCCCTACCCTAGAGAAACTGGGGAGATTCTGAATTCCTCATTAAATTTGATCCAATTGGTGATTTTCTTCAGCCTTTTTAGTCCATTAGGATCATCCAATGTGGCTGGCAGCTAATGTGGGCCTATGATAGATAAATCTGTTGCTATTCCAAGGTGGTTCAGAAGAAACTCTTAGAGTTGAATCTCATTCCTAGGTTTAGTTGCCAGGGAGTACCTAGTTCTACTGATTTGAAGTTAGGCTAAAACCTACCTGACTCCCTGGCTTGAGGCCTGGTTTCTTAGGGTTAGTTGAACTGGGGCTTTGCTCTGCAAGATTAGGGATTTTTTCCCTTTGTGGGTGTATGGGGAAGCTGCATTGTGGCAGCCTCTGGATTATGCTTCTATCTGATTTTTATTTTTTTGATAAGCATCTGCTGTTCTTTAATAAAACCTCTTTCACGCTGTCACTGGTAAAGAACAAAAAAAATCTTTAAAACGGAAAACTTTCCATCATGCTTGTGCATTATGCACATGAGCCAACACAGAAGTGGTTGATCTGTCAATTCAAATAAGCTTTGTCCCCATCTATAAAAAAAAGAAGCCTTGTCCCAGCCATTTGAAGTTGGCTAGATGAATCCTCTTCCACAATTCTGTTCTATCCAGTGCCATATCCATTGTTAAATTTTGGAACCTTATATCATCCCTTACTACATCAATCCATGGCCTTTCTGGTCTGCCCCTAGCTCTTCTATCTCCTTCAACTTGAAACGAATCAATTTTTGTTACTGGTGCTGTGGATGGGCATTTCTGCATGTGATCACCGAGCCATCTTAGTCTACCTTCTCTTGTTTCATAAAAACTCTTTGAAAGGCATGCCTTTCTACTCCACTCTCTCCATTTTATTCTTCTCTATCTCCTGAATGTAACAATAAATTTAGTAGAATCAGTACCCAAGAAAAAAGGTGACAATAAATTGCTCTTATTCAGTATTGTTTGATATTTACATGTTATGAATATGGACGTGATGGTTCTTGGGCATGTGGAGCTCCAGAAAGGGCAGCTTCCTTCTGGGTGATCATGATTCTTAATGCACTTAGTTATACAATGCTGATACACTGAAAATGATGCAGAACTGTGAAGATTGATGGCAAGGCCTATGTAATGGGATTTGTGAAAGTTAAATTTGTATTTATTAAAAGAAAATGAAATTTAGATGTGCTATTGGAATTTGGAAACAATTCTGTTCTGGTCTCACTGTAGTGGTATTAAGTGGTATGGTAATCTGCAAAGTACCATCATTAGGTATGTCAGACGTAGGCATTCCTTCAAAATTGTCATGTACAAGGAAAACTATAATACTTAGACCATGGATGACTTGTGTGTCTTTCTGGTTTTCTTTGACTCCACTAATTTACCTTTGTTTTTATCAGGTCCATCAGGATGTTATCCGCCAGCTGGTTGATTTGATTGGAATCACATCGATTATGGAGGTCCATCACTAGAATCATAAATGCCTTTCATGTATCTTATTTCAAGGGGTTGTGGATTTTTCGTTTATGTTTGTTTGACAGACAGTAGAGAGTACTCTTTCCTGACAAATTCTTATCCAGGTTTTGGTTCGACTTGTTGGTGCTGATGATCACATGTATCCCAATTTTATGGACGTGATGCAATGGCTAGCTGATAGTAATTTGCTAGAAATGATCGTCGATAAACTGAGCCCATCTGTAAGTGTCCAAAATTGCATATTGTGCTCTTGTAAAAATTTTCCCTTTAATTTTATTGCACTTTATATAAAGTTTGAAGCTATAGTTACCAGTATGTCCCATATCGGCATCGTCTGGTTATAGTATATAGAATTTCTGTATCGCTAAATACAAAGTATAGACAGGACAACTTAGGGAAGCTAAACATCCTAAGAGACATGTTTCTAGAATGTTATTGTTCATGTAGGAGTTGGGCTCACATAGAATCATAGAATGCACACAAAATAGGCTTATGTACTTTAGAAAAATGACCATATGCATGATGGTTAGTTGAACTAAAATTGTAATCTGGTAAACTAATTTTTCATTTGTGGATTGTGGAACTTTTGGAATGTCTGACATGTGAATGCATCGCGATTTATGTTTCTGTGCTCAAAATATTGTCCTTGTATTGATTCATGTATGCTATTTGGACACTTATGAATGAGGGGGGAGGGGGGGTGGGTGACACACCAATTTCTAGAACTTAAATAGAGTTGGTCCCTTTTGTGAAGAATTTTTTTCTTTCTCTTTTGGCCATGTTGCACTGTTTACCTGTGCAATTGCTCAGGCATCACATGATATTTTATTTTATTTTGTTCTTATTTTTTGGCTGGCATTCTTGCTATGCATTCTTAGTTTATCATTCTGGTTAGTTTATTGAATGACTTTCTGGTTTCTGATATTTTTGTGCACAAATTGATCAGAGTCCTTCTGAAGTTCATGCCAATGCAGCAGAAACTCTCTGTGCTATCACTCGAAATGCTCCCTCGGCTTTGGCTGCTAAACTTTCTAGCCCAAGGTTTTCAATTTATCTCTTTCACTTGAGATATAGCCAGATTTCCTTTACAGTAGAAACTTTGATATTGATTGGGGGATTGACTCTTTTTTTATTGTTGTTATGCAGTTTTGTTGCAAGAATATTTGGTCATGCACTGGAGGTTTCACAATCAAAATCTGCACTTGTGCACTCACTGTCTGTCTGTATCTCTTTGTTAGATCCCAAAAGAGCAGCTATTTTCCCTTTGGCTAATTCTTTCCGAAGTCAACATTTATATGATCCACCCATTTACGTCAATCCTGAGACTGTTGGTGCTATGCTGCCAAAACTTGGTAAGTTGGGTTTGAACCATAACCACCATAGTAGTTAGTTCTGTCATGATTCTTCCTATCAATTTTTATTCTACATACATCAGATCTGATAAATATTTACTGCAATAAGCTCTCATACACTATTTTTTTGGTACTTTGGTTGTATTTCTGCTCAGTTTTATATGTTTAATCGGTTTTGAAGTTTTGTTGACTGCAGTTGATTACTCCTTTCTTTTCCCATCTATAGGCATCACTACGTAGTTTATTGCTATTTGCTTTTTGCATTTACTGCCTTTGTAATGGTTTCTTTTTGCTTTGGGTTTTAATGTGGATCATATGATTTTGCATTTACTGCATTTACTACGGTTGTTAATGATTTGTTAAACGATGTTACCAATTTGAAGTCTCCTATAACATAATTCCTTGTCTCTTTTTGTGACCTTAAAACAACCAAAAGCTTGCTGAGTCAGGATTTGATATCCTGGCTTAATATACTCTCTTTCCATCCTGAGCCAGATGGATTATGATTTTGATGTTTGATTTGAGTGGTATGCAATTATGATCAATTCAGCGATTGCTTATGTTCATATTGGTTTGTAGAACTTAACAATAAACAAGGGTTTGCTTTCTTTGTGATGTATCCTCAGTTATCAAATTGAGAAATCATTTTGTTGTTTGTTCTCCAAGAAACTTGAAAATAAATAGTTATTATGATATTTGTGAAAACCATCAAGCTTATTATTTGATGCTGTACCATTTTTTACTAGCTTGTAATCCATCATGATATGCATTGGGAACTTCTAAAGAATATATCCTTAATTGCAGTTCTTTGTGTCTTTTCTTATAGATAATGTTTTAAAAATTTTCACAACCTTAACCATCCTTCTACTGCCCAACATTAATGCAGGGGACTTGCTTATGCTTTTGAATGTTTCCTCTGATGAGAGGGTTTTGCCTACGTCATATGGCAAACTTAGGCCTCCTCTTGGGAAGCACCGCCTAAAGGTTTGTTCCTATCTTGGATATAATGTGGGGCTTAATGTTATATTGTTAGTTAATTTAATAATAGCCTTTTGATATGTAAGCTTTGACATATTTTCTCTGAGAAACAAATAATGGTAGACCTGCCTTTCTTTCTTTCACTTGGTGGGAACCAAACCTGAAAATCTAAGGTTGAAATTTGGGTTAGGGTTAGGGTTGAAAAGTCCAAACCCGATTTAACTTTGGGTTGGGTTGGGTTAGGGTTGAGGCCTTGGCCAATCCGTCCCAACCCAAACCCGACCTAGCTTGATATTTGTATATGTGCAAATATGCATCATAAATGTATGCATATATGTATGTCAACAATTTTGACAAGTAGAGTAGTTGGGCCAACCCTAACCCAACCTGATAGGGTTAGGATTGGGGGTTCCTTAGCTTGGGTTGGGTTAGGGTTGACCTGAACCCAACCTAAACCAAGCCCAACTTGCACCCCTAGTTGTGTTGGACTTTGCTGATTATCCAAATATGTAGCATAGTTCTCTTATGAACACATATAGGATGGGTTAGTACATAGTAGGTGGTTTGACTTTCTGGAGTGGGAGTTTGGCTGGTTGTTCAAATGTATTAAACAAATCTTTATCAATGTGTATGTCTCAATTAGGTGGCTTTCATAAATCATAACTAGTTTGACATTATTTCTTTTGTTAAGATTTCATGCTATGTGTAGTTTAGATGCTGAAATGGGAATATTATTGATCTTCAGGTTTTTCTCTTTTTCCTAATTCTTTTTTAACTATGCCATTTCAGATTGTGGAGTTCATTGCAGTTCTATTGAAGACTGGCAATGAAGTTGCTGAGAAGGAATTGATCAGCTCTGGTACTATCGAGAGAGTCCTGGATCTATTTTTTGAGTAAGTTATTATTTATTTAATTTGTGTATTTGGCCAAAGTTTGCAAATTACCAGTAGTTTAACATATTATTTGTAATGTGTGCAGGTACCCATTCAATAACTCACTTCATCATCATGTAGAGAGTATTATCTTATCATGCTTGGAAAGCAAGAATTATGCAATTATTGATCATCTCCTCCGAGATTGTAATTTAGTTGGTAAAATTCTCCAGGCAGATAAAAATCCTGCTATTCCTGGAGATTCAAATCAGGTAGTCAAATATTCATATAATTATGGAAGTTCTCATTGTTTGAGCATCTCTAATTGATGCTGTTTTTTGATGTCATTCATTCATTCATTCATTCATTCTTCTTCTTCTTCTTTCATGTGTTCAAAATAGTGTACATGGTGCTATGAAATACTTTCCGTCAATCTAGCTTTAGTTGGCCAAATCTTCAGGCTAACCCTATTTGTTCTAAGCTTGATAGATTTTTAGTTTCATTTGATTGGAAAGAGCATTGGACAAGTTTGTTGGGAAGAACTCTGCCTAGAATTAGCTTAGATCATTGGCTGATTTGCTTATTGAGGAGCACAGATGGGGGTCCGGTCCCTTTCAAATTTGAGAACATGTGGCTTACCCACTCGGGGTTCAAAAATAGGGTTAAGGAATGGTGGGATACTTTGGTTCAGCTACTAAAATGGGAAGGGCAAAAGTTCCTAAAGAAGTTGTAGTTGCTTTGTCATACCTCTATGTACAAATTAGCTTGGTAAATTAGTGAGGTGACCCTTCATTGGCACTTTGTTACCTAGGCATTGCCTTGACAACCATGCTTGGAGTACACCTTGCATAGGACAAAAAGTTCTTTGTAAAGAAAAGTGGAAAATTATGGCATTGCCTTAGTGTTGAATGGGCTCTCCTAAGTGGATGAAATGTTTGTGTTGGGCACACTTCAGATTCTGAGACTTCATGGATTCTTGGACATTTAACATAATATCTACTTGCTTGTTTGATAGAAATTAATAGTTGATATACACAATAATGCTATTTTTCTAGAAACCATTTTTAACAAAGAAAGTTCCAGAGTTTTATGTATATAATGTTAGAAAGCAAAAAATTGTGCACTGTACCATTTGAATAGTTTATACATTTCTATAGATGTGTCCATGAATCCATATTTTTCTTATTGTCGAGTCAGATTCCTACGTGCCAGATTTTATTCTTGCGCCCATGTCCATGCAACACTGGTCCTAGGAGTTTTGGGATGAAATTTGGTATGGTGAAAGGTGATGGAGGTTTATGGGGACATCAAAATATGAGGACACTTGGAGATTGATTGACACAAAAGGATGAAAGTGGCAAAAAGGAGAAAATTTTGATTTTTTGTTGTGAACTGAAGAAAAACCTTAGTTGGGTCAGTTTTAATTGTACTGATGGCTGTAAGTGGCTGATTGTAAAACAATAGAGGTAGAGAGAAAGGAGAGATTCTAGCTCCATAAATGCCTTTTTAGTGAACTCTCCTTGCTCCAGAAAATAGAAACCTAATTTTTTATTTCTGCTACCCTATTAAAATCCACTGGCCACCTATTCACTCCCCCAGTCTAAATCAGCCCTATACCACTGGTTGTATATCGTATTGTTCTGTTTTTGCTCAATTATGTTATATTTTATTTCACCCCAAGTTATAAGAACCTCCCCTAGTTATAAAAGGCCATTATCCAGTGTTGGTCCCAGTCATCTGTGTCTTGGGAGGGTAGACTGGATACAGTCCTACACTTTTTTTTTCTTTGCGCAAAGCGGCTGCTCTTAGACTTGAACATGCATTCTCATGCTTTCCAGCCCAAGGTTTGACCATTAAACGAAGTAATGGCCTCTAGCCTTCCATATTCCAACTTCTAATTTAATAAACAATGCTCCCAAGAAGAAGGGCTGACTTTGGCATGTGGCAAAGGGTTTTCAGCTGAATTCCCCATCAATAGATGGCTAGGAAAGGAATTTGTGGATCTCTCTTGTCTTCTGAAGTAAGAAATCCAAGTAGCACATTTGTCCTTTATATAATACAGACATGCATGCATACATACATGCATTCATGTATATACAATACATTCATTGGCACTACATTCTTTTATACCTTTATACTCTTATTTTTTGTGATATATTCTTTAATGTTGCAGCCAACCTTACCTGCTGCTAGAAGATTTGCTCCACGAGCTGGCTACCTTGGACATGTCACTCGAATCTCTAACAAACTTGTTCAACTAGGACATGGTAACAGTCACATTCAGGCATTTCTACAGGTTGGTCTTGCAAGTTGTCTCTGGCTGACTACTCAAGTCAGTGTATGACGCTCAAATTCAAATGTGTTTGAAAATCATATTTCCTCTATAGTGAAGCCTTTTTAGGGAACTGTAGTTGTGGATTTAATGTTATCTCAAGGGACTTGACATTTCTTTTAGATTATCTCTGCAATTTGTGGGTGCCATATTTCCTTATTTGTCTGTTAAGTTGAGTTTTGGGCCTATTCTTATTGGAACGCTTTGTTCTGTAATGGTGATGCCTTGTTCTTTCTACATTGTAGCAAGATGCCAATCCATGATTGAAGTACTTTGTGTATTATTATACCCTCAGAATAGGTACCATTTGTCCATCTTGAACAAATTGCAGTCGTTTAAAGCAGTTGCCAAATATTTGACTGGTCATTTTCCAAAATTTTCAGTAGAAAAGTTAGCAAGGAACTTTGAGAGAATACATGTTATCACTACTGATACTTTATTGTGTTGCTCCATCCTTTATGTCAGTAAACATCTTGGTATAATGGTACCTAGGTTTGGCTGGAAAAATGGCTCTTTCTTAACATGTTTGTGTTATTTGCTTCCAGTTACAGTGTTGCATCTATGGAAAAATATATGCTCTGGGTCAATTTTGTCTGGAGCATATTTTGGAGGAATTTTGATTCAACTTTGGTTCATTTACTTTATCTAGGAAAATGGTGAATGGCTTGATTGGCAAAGCACTGTTCTACAGGAGCGTAATAATGTGGAAAATATCTACCGCTGGGCCTGTGGGTAAGCTTCTTATCATCACTTAGTGCTACATTGTTTTGTTTTGGATTAACATATTGGGCATACAATTTGTAGTAATACAGTTAAAGCTGAGGTCTACCCCATTATTTTGCTCGGTGGACTTTTGTCTTCGAACTTGCTAAAAAGGGTACAAAGAATCCCTGTTCTTGAAGGAAGCAATTTATCATGAACTATGGATGTTGGTTGGGTCCAAGGTTTAAAATTCCGCAACATATCAGGCTGTATTGGCTGATACTTATTGTTTTGATAAGGGCCTGATATGTGGAATGGGTCAAGTTCCGTGGATGCGTTCCTTTTTGTTTGTATTGGCCTGATATGGGCCTGTATTGGGTTGTTTTGGGCGGGTCCAATATGGACTGTAACAGTGTGTATTGGCTGATACATTTGGAATTTTGGATTTTAATCTCTTTTAATGACATATTTAATGTTAACCCCTATCTTTAAGACACACTGTTACTCCTATATTCAATGCTAGTTTATACATTTAAGGCAATATTAATCCTCAAATTTGAATTTGAAGGCATGCCATTAAACGCATTACACACCCTTTATTTAGCTATATAACCCATAAATGGGTGATACTGTAACAAGAAGGTTTGAACCCTGGTTATTAGTTTGTAATGATCACCAAGTCCATCATTTTTTTTGATGAATATACCAAGTCCATCATTATGTGCTGCTATATTTGCTTGTTAAAATTATATGCATATTTGTTCTTAAGTAAGCTTTCTCTTCTTGGTGGATGTTTGTCAATAAATGCTAAAACTGTTTATTAAAATTTATATATTAATAACTATTAAGACAAATTATATTGATTTTCTGAAAATTAAGGTAACATACACATTTTATATATTAATAACTATTAAGCCAAATTATATTGTCAGACATGCAGACTAGCACTTTCTTTTGGTTTTTATATTAAAATATTTGAACTTTGAATGCTATATGTTGGTCTAGTATCAGTTGGTGAAAAACCAAAAGTATTTAGGGCTGATGTAGACCAAGTCTTGGACATATTGCAATCCAGAAGGTTGCCTACCTCTGGCAGACAGCACAGATTGGCCCATGATCTCTACATGTATTAGATAAAGAGTGGGTTGTGTAGGGAAGGCCCCTACTTGACCTGATCAGAAAATTTTTCGTAATATCAATATGAAGCTATGATATCAAGGGTTTGAAGAAGCACTTGCATGGTGGTTTTCATTTTATTTGGTTAAATAATTGGGGTTACAAGTTACTATTTATTGTATGGCTTTTGGTTGTTTTCATTTTTCATTTATATGAACTTTAAGCTTTATTGCAATCCTTTCCTTGCAGTCGTCCAACAGCATTGCAGGACAGGGCAAGGGATAGTGATGAAGATGATCTTCATGATAGAGATTATGATGTGGCAGCGTTGGCTAATAATTTAAGCCAGGCTTTTAGATACAACATGTTCGAACATGAGGGAGAGGAGGTATTTTCAAAGTTGCCTGAACCTGTATGGTGTTGACTATGTAGTGGTGCATGCTGTTTGTCTTCGGTTTGATAAATTTTCTTTTTCATGAATTCTACTTTTGTTGTTGTTTTATGGTTTGCCTTGCCTCTTGCAGGTCCATGGATCTCTTGAGCGAGATGATGAGGTAATATTGTTGATCTTCTAAGCTAATGTAAATTGTTATGTTTATTTCATATCATGGATTATGTAGGAAACACCAAAATATTATTAATTACTGGGGTTGAGAAATCTAGGTGGCAACAAATATTTTTCTTACATTATAAATTTTAATATATTATTTTATCAAATAACTGCAGGATGTGTACTTTGATGATGACTCAGCTGAAGTTGTAATATCATCACTGAGGCTTGGTGATGACCATGAAAGGTAAGATTTCTGGTCACTGGGATATTAAAATTATCTTGGCCATTATGCAATATTGGCCTCAAGGATCAAAATATCGACATGTCAGATACCAACAATTGGGTATCGGTGTGTTGATAAGACCGATACTCTTGCCTTTTTTTTTATTTCTTTTATCTTTTTATGTGCGACTCGGGTTGGCCAGAGTTAACATTTTGCACTTTTTCGGGTTCAGGCTTGGAGTCAAGCCCATTCAAAATTTGACACAACCCCAAGTTCCCAACCCGAACCCACCCAAGTTGCACCTCTAAGAGGGATGCCTTCTTTTATCCCAAACTTTACCCACCAACCCTGTATGTATCAATATATCCATGCGTCTCCATGACTACTTGAGTGTATTGTATCGATATTTTGATCCTAGCTTTCTGTTCTTGGGAAGGGTTGGCTGGATATAGTCCGGACTTTTGGCATTGTTTTTTGCGTAAGGTGGCTGCTCTCAGACTCGATCGAACCTTTGTTCTACTTGCCAGCCTGAGAATTTTCCACTACACCAAGCAATGGCCCCTGGCATATTCAGAAGCATAGTCACGAGTTTGCTAAGGTGCCAGTTGAGTGGTAGTTGTCCTAGAAAAAAATCTACGTTCAGTACACTAGTCAGGGAATTAGTGTGCAACTTGGGCTGGTTATATTGGGTTTAAGGTCAATCCAGGCTTAACCCAAGACCTGAGCCTTGGGGTTGGGCCTGGGCCTGGGCCTGGACCAACCTTAGGTCAAAGCCCGAGTTAAGCAGCTCAAGCTAAACCAAACACAACTCAAGCTGGGCTGGGGTGCACTTAAGCAGACCTGCGCAAGTTGGTAGAATAAAGGAAAAAAAGGATACAATTATAATACGGTTATTTGTAAATATGATATAGTTTTAGAAAGGAATACAACTATGCATGCACTTAACATGCATAATGCATCTGATAAAAAATATACGTATGTATACATGTTTGTGCATTACTGTGGACTTAGTTGATAACATGGGCAAGATATTAGATATATACTCTGGAATGTACATTCTATTGTAAATTGTAGTAGTATATGCACACACAGATAAATGCACAATATACGTGGGAAAAGATGCACGATGTACAAATATACATTCGGTGGGTAAATATATTATAGAAACTTGGGCTGGCATGGGTCGGGGTTGCTTTGTCTTGGGCATAACTTGGCTGTCTGAAGCCCCAATCAAACCCAACTTGAATTTAAGGTCATGCCTGTTTTCAGGCCCAAGTCCAACCAAAGCCTGAAAACCCAAGAAAAAACAAAGACAAAATTCATTGTAAAAAAAGTGCAAGTCTACATGATCTTGATGCATGGTACTGGAGCTGCATAATAGAAAGTTTACCCTGTTTCCCCATGTCACTGTTTTCCCTCTTGGAAGCTTCATCAGTTCTTTTACATGCAACTAAAAGAGTCCTTTTTCCTGGCCTATATTCATTTTTAAGAAATTAAGAAAATACTGCACTATCTATTCATGGGATTTATAGGAAAGAAGTGAAACACCAATTTGATGGATACATGGCTCGAGTCCAGAGAATCCTCATTAGCAGGTCTGGTTCAGGGACATCCCCCTTGTGGTTAAATGATCCAGTCACTGCATGCTTCAAAGCCTGCAGAACATTTTTTTCTTTTATTTTCCTGTCCTTTTCTTAATGAGTTGTTCATACAACAGTTGGTTGACCAAGGACATTTGGATTGTCACTCACAGATGGTTACATTTCTGTATTTCTTGATGCAGCAGTTTGTTCACAAATTCCAACTGGTTTGCTTTTCAAGATGATAGAATTGTTGGTGAACATCTGAGCACCTCTCAGTCGGAGAAGATGGATGAAGTCAATATGACTGGAGCAACAAATGGTGGCGGTAGCAGTAGTGACGATGAGGTAGTGGTGGGAGAGGATGACGAATTAGTTGAAAGCATAGTAGCTTCTGTAAACGGGGCATCAAGTTCCAGCACAAAGATTCAGGATGAGTGCACTGGTAATGGTCCTACAAGTGGGGGAGACCTGAATCCCCAAAGTGACAAGGCAAGTGCTTCTGGTGATCTGGGTTTCTTCCGGTTTGACACAACAGATAGTAGCAACCCATTTGGTGATAGGCCATTTCCTCATTGGGTGGGGTGGCAAGAATCGCCAGATTTACAGGTTGGTGGATCTGGGAGGAATCCATTCAGTGATAATGGCGCCTCCAATATTGATATTTCCAGCCCAATGGATTCTACTGGGACTACCATCAATCCTTTCTCTAATGGGGAGGTGAAAATGCATAATGGTGCAACGAGTTCTTTGGTTTCCAATGATGGGCCTGTGGGGACTGCTGCAAGTCACATGACTGCTGTACCATCATTGTTTGAGGAGGATGTTGAATTTGTCGGTGTGGAATTAGAGGGCACGGAGAAGGCAATGGAGCAGGCCCTGAAAGAGGGGATAGTAGGGGAAGCAGGTCCGTTGAAGAGGAATCGTGAGCCCAAGGTATCAGAGAAGTCCAATGAGGATGGTTCAGGGATGTTTGAGTTCAACGATACAAACTATTGGAGGGTCGATCAAGAGGTTGCTGTCGTTCAGGAGTGATTGGTTGCTTATGGGTTGCCTGTCTCGGTCAGATATTTGAGCCATATGTTACGGGTGCCGTGGATGTTGGCGGCAAGGGTATTCTGGCTCATGTGTATGTACAGTATATTTTTCCAATTAGGGATTGGGTACTGGATCGTGTTATGCTCTCTTTTTTTTTTGTTGTTGTTGCTATTGTTGTTATTATGTTTTCTGTTCTGTTTCATTTTTTACCCTTAACTGGGGATTTTGTTTCGATGCCTCGTAGCCCCCATATTTTATATTCCCATCGTCCACGGTTTTCTTTCTGCATAATGACCCAAAGTAATTTGGATTTCTTCACACTACAGTAGGGCTGTTGTCGGATTAGAATAGGATAGATGATAGACGGATAGGCCACCTGTCTTATCTAGATGTTAGATGGGACTTAGTATGCCATTAGTTTTTTTTTTTTCATTTTTCGAGGAAAATAGCTAAGTTTGTTTATAATAACATAACGAAAGGAAAAAAAAAAACTATGCTGCCAGAGTCGCACTCTTAACAAAATCGATTATGTTTCGAAAGTAATGAAATGAGAAAAAACTTTATTTTGACAAAATTGCTTCATAGCCCTAACGCCCATCAGGCATCAAATCCTACCAAGTACCAACCTTTTACTTGGGACGTTTTTAGTTTTTATTTTTGGGAGAATGACCAATCAGCCCAGGGTCAGAATTTGTAGGCTCAAAGTACAGTTGGAGTGAAAATCAGAAATCTATCTCTGCAGTGAAAATCAGAAATCTGCAGTGAAAATCAGAAATCTTAGTAATAACATAGACAATTGTCCTTTTGAATGTTTATAGCTCTGCAGTGAAAATCAGAAATCTACATTGGGCCTGTCCGTATTTCTCGTTTCTTTTTTGGGTGGTACTTGGTTGTGTCACCTGATACGGTGGCCATGAGTCTTATCCAATCCAAATTCCATCGAAAATGCTATTCAACAATCAACAATGATAAAAAGGAGTTGTTCATGGTTTTGATTAGTTACTGTGGCAGTGTCTATTTTTACCCTCTCCCCTTGGTCAATTGTCAATTCGTCAAGGAATTCGATTCTTTCATCCCATTTTCTACGGTATACAAACACAAGAGGGTAAGACTTAAGAATGACGGTAGATAGGTGTCACAACGGGAGTGAGACTTTGAAAGTTGCTCGGCTGTGGATGGATTAGGAGTGATCATGGGATGGGCCATGCCGGGCTTTGCACTTGTGATAAAGGCTAGAACTTAGGCCCAGGTCCGACCGTGCCTGGGGTTTCGTCCCTGAAACATAAGCCCTAGCCCCAGGTCTACACGGGTTTGGGTCGGGCTGGGCCTGATTCTGGGCCAATGTAATTCATATATAAAACATTATGTATCTATATTGTATAATATTTTATATTAAATGATATAACATGCATATAAACTTATTTTATACATTATATAATATAAAATATTATATATAATATAAATTATACATGTCATGTTATAATATTTATATATAAAATATATAATATAATGTAAAATAACATGTACATATTATACACAAAATGTGTAAGTTTAAACATATGGGAGCCTGCCCGAGCCCGGGCCGTGCTTAAAGTATTAAGCCCAAGCTTGGCCCTAAAATTTGTGAGTCTAATGTGGCTTGGGCCTGGGCCCGGCCTGAACACAAAACCCAAGCCTAATCCCGAAATTTCTGGGTCGGGCTTGTGCGGGCTGGGCTGAAATGACCACCCCTGGCTTGGATGGGAAAGGCTTCCCTGTTTGTTTAGAAAAAAACAGTACAACTGAAGCTTCACACGTTAGCATGTGTGGGGAAAAAGAATACTTGCAAATTTGTAATAAATATTTTTAATTAAAGAGTTAAAAAGACAAATAAAGACTAATAGGGCTCTACAAAGGTCAGTTCGGTTCATTTCTATATGAATACTAGCAGATGTAATTCCTTGTCCAGTGCCTACATCTACATGTACTCATATGATTACATCTGTTATTCACCGATCCAACTTTCTCTCTCTTTAACCCCACATATCGTAAATAGAATTTTAAAATCCATTGAGATAGAGAGGTTAAAAGTTAGAGCAGTATAAAACAACATTTAATGCCTGTATTGCTAGTTCTTTTAAAGAAAATTAGACTAAACACCAACATTTAATGTCTCTTGCAAAAGAAGTTTTCATTTCATTTGAAACCAACCCAAACCCGACTTTAGTTGAAGTCAATGGTGTGATCAGAGTCGGTGGCGGAGATGAATGACATTTTGCGAAATAAGGCGATGAACATTGATTTTAAGGATAACTTTGAAATGTTTGAAATACATGTGATGTCATGTGATACAGTTCATTGACGGATTACTAACGATTGAGATTAAACTGACATGTTTTAAAAGTTTAGGTATTGAATTAACACGTTTTGAAGTTCGAAGGCTAAAATGATATTAGGCCCAAAATATATGATACTAAATTACCTAGAATTTTCTCTATTTGAATTCATCAAATTTTTCTAGGGTTCAGTTGGAAAGGGGTAGAAATATAATATGTGGAGTGTAAAACTTTGTATTTTATATTATTTTATATGTATTTATACTGTATATATTTGTATTTGTACTATTTCCAAATTGAACTTGGGCATTTTTTGTTAGTTTACACACTTATAAATCAGAACTTATTCGATTGTTGATTCGAAATTTATTTTTTTTGAACCGATCAAATCGGTTTGAGTTGGTTCAATTCGATCGATTTTCTTTATTTTATAAACAACTGAAACCCCAATTACAATCTAGTAAGAATCTTTAAGAAAGCCTACTAAACTTTTTTAATTTCAGATGTAGTAGGCATGTTAGGTAAACACAATGAGTGAGCACCTAACAGCTGTGCTACACAACTCCGGATGTAGTACATTAGGTAAGCACAATGAGTGAACACCTAATAGTTGTGTTCATTTCCCAGTTAATGTGCCTTTTATTCAAATGTTTTTTGTTCCGTTGGACAAAAAATATTTATTATTTTATTATTTTTATCAAAATAATTAAAAATAAAAATAATAAAAATAAAAAACCTAAACATTTTGGGAGTTAAGAATGGTTTATGTTTTATATTTTTAATTATTTTGAAAAAATAATAAAATAATAAATAATTTCTAACGGAACAAAAACGTTTGAATAAAAGACGCATTAAAGTCCGCTACTGGACTCGCGCAGCAGATACAGAATTACAGATACAAACGGTCAAGGGGTTTTGTTGTCATTTAACATTAATTTTAAGTACATCTATGATCTTTGTAGACTGTAGTCATACAGAGAACTCCGAAATTCCGAATCAGAAGTGTCGATTCCTCCACTGCTCTCACCCTCCGAACTTCCAGAGTCAAACTATCGACGCGGATAGGTAATGCTCTCCCTTTTCCATCTTACTATTTGAGCTTCATATTTCGGCTTCTTTCTATTTTCTAAATTGTATGTATCGTTTCATTTTTTCAACTAATTATTTGTTCAGTTGCTCTCTGCTCCACCCTTTTTTCTTAGCTCTCGACTTTATTTTCGTCCCTTTTCGTCTTTTCTTTTACTCTGTCTTTTTCCGTTTTATCTTGGTACCTGCGTCTTTAATCTACATCACCGAGTCGACTCTTCACGTTTCTAACGAAGCGCTTAATCGAATTTTGGTATCCTTAAAATCTGTTTCTTATTTTCTTTGTTTGGTCTTAATGATTTGATAAATATAACACATCTATACTACTGTAAAAAGCACATATGGCAATTTTACCCCGCTATATTTAAATTTATTAATAAAAGAATGAGGGCAAATAGGGTAATCAGTTCTTAATATTAAATGAGTTGAAAAGAGGTAATTTAAAGATATTCAATGCATTCAATTCTCTCTCGTTAAATCCAATATTTGAGTTATTAACTTGTATTTATGTTCATTGATTCATATATTTAATTTAGTTTTGTTTCTTTTAATCATTAAGTTCTATTAATTGAATCCATACTTAATAAATTAATAATTCCAATAACATAAAAGCTTATAATTTTAAAATCTACCTAGAAAAAATAGTGTTTTCATCTAGGTGGTAGTAAGAAATTAAATCATTTTGGGTCAAATGGGCTAATCCATGTTGTCACGATTAAATAATAAAATTTAAAAAATTAGAAACATTTTTTAACATACATATTAAACAATAATAGTTATGATAAATAAGAAATATTTTTACTAATGATGAAAATGGAATGTAAAATTTAAAACCAATTGGAAATAAAAATATTTTCCTATTCTCTCACATTAAATCCTATATTTAAGATATATTTTTTTCATCATTAAATTCTTGTAATTAAATCCATAATATTAATTTTAATAGTATAAAAATAAATATTTTGAAAAGTAAATTGAAAACAAAACCATTTTCTTCCCTCCCGGTGGTGGGCAAGCAATTTGACCATTTGGGGTCAAATGGATTGATAAATAATGCCATAATTAAATATTAAAAATTAAAATAAATAACTAGAAAATGTAAGAAGTATTTTTATTAATGGTGAAAATGGATTGCCAAATTTAAAATCCACCTATAAATGAAATGATGCCATAATCAATTAATAAAATTTTTAATAATAGAAAATACAAAGAATCACAAAAGTATTAAAAAAAGATAAAGAAAATTTTGGGCACATATCTAATGTTATATATATAAAAAATAAAATATTGGGTACATCTCTAATATCATGCATTCATTATATTGAACAAAAATAAGTTTTATACATAAGAAATAATTTTATCAATGATGGGAATGTAATACAAAAATTTAATGTCAACTTTGAAATCAAAATATTTTTCTTTTTAGATGGTGGGTTAGTGTATTGAGTCAAATGATACCAAAGACAAACAAAAATTAAGTGTGATAAGTAAAAAATATTTTATATAATGTAAATGAAATCTATAATTTAAAGGGAAAAATATAGTCAAAGTTGGTTGTACATTTAAAACTATGTTGCAGGTTGGTTCAGAAACCAACAAGACTCTAACAACCAACTCTACATTTCAAATTATAAACCCCCTCTGCCATGTCATCGGAGGCTTATGTGGTTGTTGCCAACATGAGACTCTTAGTCCATGTTGGACACAACAAAAAGCCAATACCGAAAATAGGTGTTCAGTTTCTCTCACACTCCCTCTGTCTCTCGATCTCCCTCCTTTCTCTCTCACTCTCACAGTCATCTCTCGATCTCCCACTCCCTCTGTCTCTCCCACTCTTCCAGCTTCAGTCTGTAGCCAAATCAAAACCTATCTCTCTTTTTCTCTCATTCTTCTCCCTCATTCTCCCTCTCGGTCAATATCTCCTTCTCTCTCCCTCAATCTCTATCATTCTTCAATTTGTGTAAATTACATAGCCAAGAGTTTCTTGTGAATTTTTATCAAATAGGTGTAATGATTTTTGAACCATACCAAGTTGGTCTCATGCTCTTTTATACAATCTAATTAATACCACATAAGTGTATAAGAAAATAAAAAAAAGAACGAGAGAGGGAGTGAGAGAGAAATTGAAGGAGAACGATAGAAATTAAGGGAGAATGAGAGATTGATTGAGAAAGAGAATGAGAGAGATTGAAGGAGAACAATAGATAGAGAGAGAATGAGAGAAATTGATATATAGAAACCAAAAACCATATTTATTTATTTTCAAATCACACAGTTGTTGAACAAATAAAGATGACTGTGAGAGTGAGAGAGTGTGAGGGAGATTGAGAGAGTGAGAGAGTGAGTGAGTGAGAGTAAGAGTGGGAGTGAGAGAGAGAAACTAAAACCCCTTTTTTTATTTTCTAATCACCCGACATTAAAGGGCAATTTTGGTATAAGCTTTTTGTTGTGTCCAATATGGATTAAGAGTCCCATGTTGGAAACAACCACATAAGCCTCTGATGGCATGGCGAGGGTTTTTATAATTTGAAATGTAGAGCTGATTGTTAGAGTTTTGTTGGTTAATGGGCCAACTTGTAGCTTAATTTTAAATGTACAGTCGGCTCTGACTATAATTTCCCTAATTTAAAACTAATCATTCAACTTTTCAAAGAAACTCATGATATCATAATTGAATAATAAATATTTAAGAAAAGATAGAACACAAAAAATGAAAATGTACAGAATTTTGTCAAAAACATTTGAGAACATTATTGATGTTATATATTCATCATATGAAATAAAAATAATTTTTAAAATAAAAGTTATTTTTATTTATGATAAAAATGCAATACAAAATTTAATAATAATAATAATAATAATAATAATTGTTATTTGCTACAAGCATTTAAGTTTATTTTTAATTATGTTGTTACTTTTGTTAATTTTCAATTTCTATCTTAACTATGGTATATCTAAAATTCAAGTAATTAATATGAAGAAAAATTTCTCATGTGCAATGCATGTGCTTAATTACTAGTAAAGCTAAACTACTAAGAGTAAGCTCAGAGATACAAATATAATGTAGTTGGTTTAATATTTTATTACTTCACATATACTGTGAATGAAAGCGTAGGTCCTGCGCTGCTTTGTTGGTTGAAGGCTTCTAGTGTGAGAAGTTATCTATATCAATTGATTCTTTAGTTGTATCTCATCTTCTTAAAGATTTTCTCTGTTGGTTTAGTATTACTTGATGGCTTTGGTTTTTCTTTTCATCTGTATTCAGCAGGTGATTCTTAATTGAACACAAAAGAAATAATGCCCCGAAGGTCCACCACTTCTTCATCAACGTCAAAGCCATTGTTAAATCCTGAAACGGTTGATTCAACTACAGTTGATAAGGCCCTCTATTTAAATGAACGTGGAGAAAGCCCAAAAAGGTCGGCATTTTTATGGCTGGCCTTGTTTGCAGTGATCCTTAATTGCTCTTGGGGTGTTCATTATTATCAGTTTGAAAATATGCCTAGGTCTCTTAATGCCAACCAGGCAGGCAAAAGGGGTTTTTCAGAGCAACAGGCCATGGAGCATGTCAAGGCTTTGACTGAACTAGGTCCTCATCCTGTTGGTTCTGATGCTCTCGATCTTGCACTGCAGGTTTGCATCTATTGATTCTATTACCTGTTTTTTAGTTTTCCAATCATTACTTCTCTCTTGTATCATGTAAATTAAATAATTTTCGCTGGTTCATTTTTCACAACTTCTCTTTTCTTTGTTTTTTGATAGTAAATAGAAATTTTATTAAAAGATAAGGTACATCCTCAGGTTATAATAAATCACCAAAAAAAGAAAGCAAGTGACCCATCTCGGATCCTAACCTTATACCCTCCCTAAACCCTGAGCTCTACTAACATCTAGGCCTAGAAAATCATAGAAAAGAAAGAAATAGAATCCTGCAAACCCATAATCAAAAAGATCCACAACTGACTTGTCAGTTCGTGAGAAGATGAAAGAGCTAGAAGAGAAACACAAGTTCAGATCTGTTGGGGTTGATCAATCTGATCGAACCAACCCAGAAAAGATGTATTTTTATTAAGGCCAAGTGAATGGACAAGATTGTCCTTACAGAGAAAATAAAAGAGTTGTACACTAATATACACACCTATTACAGTACAAGAAAGAATAAGGGCCCGTTTGGTGCATCTTTTTGAGAAGATCTTCTTGTAGTTCTGACAGTCAAAAGACGCATTGAGCTTTTGACATAAGATTTGGGCAGCCCGAAGACAGTTTGGCAGACGTGCGTCTTTCCGTGCATCTGCCCGCATCTTTCCGCACGAGATTAAAACGTGAAAGATGCGGGAAGCTTCATTTGAAGCTTCCCGAAATCAGCCTGAAATGGGCTTCTCACGTCTTTTCGGTGCACCGTCTTTTGGAAGCTAGATCTTCCACGAGCCAAACGGGAATAAACCAAAAACCGGTCTTCCCAGCTTGTAAACAGCCAAAAGACCGCACGGAAAGATGCACCAAACGGGCCCTAATAAAATACAATAGAATTACAAAGCTACCCTTTATTTTCTCTACACCCCCCCTCAAAATGATGTTGGGTATAAGCATCAGTTTGTCCACAAGAAAATTATGTCGGGATTTGGTCATGGCTTTGGTGAATAGATCCGCAAGCTTTTGACCCGATGAAACATGTGGGAGAGAGATGTGCCCATGTGGAGAAGATCATGAATGAAGTGACAATCTACCTCAATGTGTTTAGTACGCTCATGGAATACGAGATTGGATGTAATCTTGATTGCACTCATGTTGTCAACATACAAAGGAATAGCAGATGAGTGATCAATATCCATGTCATGAAGTAGCGCCTTAAGCCAAAATATTTCACTGCATACTGAGGACATGGCTCTGTACTTGGCTTCAGTAGATGACTTGGAAACCGTTTGTTGTTTCTTGCATTTCCAAAAAATTAGGGAATCACCAAAGAATATATACCAGTCAGTAGTAGAGTGACGAGTGTCAGGGCAACCAGCCCAATCGGCATCTGCATAAGCTCGGAGCTGTGTGGAGGAAGAGGATGAGAAAAAATAATCCATGTGATGATGTGCCCTTGACATAGCGAATAATCCGAAGAACTATTGAATAGTGAGGCTGAAGTGGAGCAGATACAAACTGACTCACGATCTAAATTGCATAGGAAATGTCCGGTATAGTCATGGTTAGGTAGATAAGACTACCTACAAGATGCCGATATAGAGTAGCATCAGGGAGCCTCATCCTTACTCAACTTACAGTTAAGCTCCAGAGGTGTATCAACTTGTTTGGAGTCAGTCAAGCGAGCAAGAGTCACCAAATCAGAGGCATATTTCTATTGGTTGACAAAATAACCTTGATGACATCTCTGAATTTCAAGCCCAAGGAAGTATGTCATTGGCCCAAGATCTTTCATTTTGAAGGAGTTATTGAGAAGAAGTTTCCGTTTATTAATACCATCCACATCATCTCTAGTGATACGAATATCATCAACATAAACTAAAAGAAGAGTCAACCCTTGAGCTCTCTTAAGAGTGAAAAGAGATTAATCTGAAGCACTCTGCTGAAAACCAACCTGCAACTAGACCTGTTCATGGGCCGGGCCGGGCTTTCATTTGTCACTAATGAAAATATACTAGGCCCGAGCCCGAGCCCGAGCCCGGCCCTGGTAAAAAGCCCGAAACCCGAGCCCGAGCCCGAGCCCGAAGCCCGACCTAATTGAAAAAAAAAACAATTTCCCCTATTCAAATTAGAATTAAAAATTCAGATAGTATTTTTTTTCTATTTAAATGAACAATGGGCCTACAAGATGGTATTTTTCCCTTTCTTTTATATTTTAAAACACAATTTTACATTCTTAAATCAAAAAATTTATTCAAATGGACATAATCACATAACTAATTTTAAGTTTAATATTAGGTCGGGCTGGGCTATTTTGACAAAACTCGAGCCCGGCTCGAATTTATTGCGGGCCGGGCTTTTTGGCCCGAATTTAAGTCGGCGGGCCTATAAGCATGTTCAAGCCCGTCCGGGGGTCGGGCTGGGCCGGGCCGGCCCGTCGGGCCACCCGGCCCATGAACAGGTCTACCTGCAACACTATTGTACGGAAGTAGTTAAACCAAGCTCGTGGAGACTGAGGGTTGTCATAGTAGCTGGGAGGTGGTTTCATATAAATCGTCTCCTGTAATTGTCCATGGAGGAAGGCATTCTTGACATCCATCTGGTGAACTGTCCATTGTCTAAGAGCAGTAATGGCTAGTAGCAAACAGACTGTTGTCATTTTGGCCATAGGAGCAAAAGTTTCATCATAGTCAATTCCATACTCTTGCTTGTAGCCTTGAGCAACCAAATGGGCCTTATATCTGTCCAGAGTACCATCTGATTTGAGTTTCACGGTGTAAACCCACTGGCTACCAATGATGGAGGCATCTGGAGGAGGAGAGACAAGATCCCATGTATCATTCTCTAATAAAGCCTGGACCTTTGAATCCATAGCATCTTTCCAATGCTTAACTGTTACGACTTGGCTGTAAGACTTAGAAATATCTCTGGATGACAAAACAACTGAGAAAGAACTATGACTAGAAAAGAAGCCATAGCGATCAGGTAGACGAGAAATATGGGATGACTGACGCAAAGGAATAGATGAAGGTAAATCCTCAGGAGGAGAATCTGTACTCAGTGTTTTAAAAAGCGTGGGAGGCGTACGCCTGGAGGCACGCTTCCAGGTGAGGCGCTGACACCTCCGAGGAGTACGCCTCAGGTGCAAGAGGCGTATGCCTCTTGCGCTTTTCTCATGAGGTGTGCTAGAGGCATACGCCTCATGTGCCTCATGCACATCTGATATAAAAAGATAGAAAAAAAAAGAAAAAAAGAAAAAAAGGAAAGGAAAAGAAAGGGAAGGGAAAGAAAAAGAAAGAGAAGAAAAAAAAAAAGAAAAAAGGAAAGGAAAGGGAAGGGAAGGAAAGTTAAGGGGAAAGAAAATGGTTTGCCCCTTGCCCCTTCGGCCCCCCTTTGAGCTAATGTTATGCATCTTTATTCTTCTTAATATAAAAGATTTTTATTAAAAATAAAGAAAAAAATGAGATCCCCCCTTCCTCTTCATCCTCCTCCTAACCCCCCTCCTCTTGAGGAGGCTTATGCCTCCTTGTGTTTGGGAGGCTTACGCCTCTTGCGTTCTGAACTACGCCTCACGCCTCTGGGTAGTGGAACGCCTCGTGTCACGCCTCCGCATTTTAAAACATTGTCTGTACTTACAATAGTAATGGATGAAGAGGAATGACCAGCCACTGTTGCTGGAAGTGGAGGAGACATAGGTGATGGGCGAACTAGATGCTTCCTGAAATACATCTCAAGTGGCTGAAATGAAGTAGGAGAGTCACCTGTAGAGCCAAAGTTATGTAGAATAGAAATGGATGGCGCAGGCAATTTAGTAATATGTTCAAAGAATGAAAGGTTCTCAAGAAAGATGACATTGCGGGAAATCCGCAACCTGTAGACTTTGGGTTCATAACAAAGGAGTCCTTTGTGTTCCATACTATATCCCATAAATGCACACATAGCTGATTGAACTGTTAGCTTGGTGCGTTCATGGGGAGGGAGATGGGCAAGACAAACACGTCCAAAGACACGAAGTATGGATAGGTTTGGTGGGCGATGAAATAAGGATTGATAAGGAGAAGAATTTCCAAGGATAGGTGTAAGAAGAACATTGATAAGGTGAACAACAATGCGGGTCGCCTCCACCTAGAAGGTAAGGGGAGCATGAGAGTCTTGAATCAAGGATCTTACCATACTAGCAATGTGGCGATTCTTGTGCTCCGATACTCCATTCTGTTGAGGAGTACCGGGACAAGATCTCTGGGACTGAATACCATGTTTAAGATATGTTTGAAACTCACCATCCTTACCATCATAGTACTCTCCCCCTGAATCTGACCTCAAAATGCTTATAGTACTTTTAAACTGAGTCATTACCATAGCATGAAAGTTGTTAAACATGGAGAAAACTTCTGAATTCTTTCGAAGGAAATAAACCCATGTGTATCAAGTACAGTCATCAATGAATAGCACAAAATACTTATAGTCTAAGCGTGAAATAATTGGAGACGACCACACATCACTGTGAATGAGGTAAAAAGGTATAGATGCATGTTTAGTAGAAGATGGAAAAGGTAACACATGACTTTTACTATAGCAACAAGTTAAACATGATTTATCAACATTTTTAAATGAAGAAGTAGTCATAGGCAAACAACCAGAAGAAAATAAGTAATCCAAATTTTTAGCATGAGTGTGACCCAAACGTCTGTGCCATAAGTGCCACACATTATTACAAGAGGAAATAGAAGAACTAGGAGTAATAGACAGCAAACGGGAGTCCGGTGAAATTCTCTTATTCTCGAATTCCAGAGCAAACAACTTTCCAAGCCTACGCCCCTTCCCCTTCAGCTCCCCACTGTGTTGGTCCTGGATAAAACAACCATCACGAGTAAATAAGACATTATTACCATCATCAACAAATTGCCCAATAGAGATAAGACTAGTAGTCAACTTAGGTACGAAGAAGGTTTTGGGAAGATGAAAGGGTTTGGACTTGGAAGTGGACAAAAAAAAATCAT